CGCTCTTCAAACTGAGGAAAAGTAAACTTCGCGTATTTGACCAAATTTCCGCCTGTCGGCCCACTGTGCAGGATGAAGAAATAGATAGAAAGAATGCTAGTTTCTCTCTTCGTATACAGGTTAAGAAAATAAGAACTTAATTATTTGTCAGTTATGGGATTTTTAACGTCTTAATACATCTCAGTAAATATAAGGGGCAGCGAATGAAGAAACTATCGTTTTTATTGATATAATCGATTCAATTGGGATATAACTTAAATATCGTGAGATTGTTTTACTAAAATAGAGATAATTGTGTATATATCTAAATAGATTTTATTTTCAACTCTTTGATAAAATAGCAAAAACATTTACTATCGAAAATCAATTCATAGGCAAAATAGACGTTTTGCTAAACATTTAATGAAAACATTAACACAGTCAATTTTATTTAAGCTTTATCTCCTCACGCTTCTTCTGCTGGCATCCATATACGTGCCAGGAAAGGATATTATAAATATTAACAGATCGGCTGCAGTTCCATCACTGAACTGTTACCAGCACCAGCATCATTTGTACGGAGAAGCACATATGATTCCGTTCAAATCTAAGTATAAATTAATTAAATTAGACTTGGGTCTAACATAATTAAGTAAACAAGCAACAGATTAAAAATAGTCTGTTCCAGAGTATAATAGTCAGTATAATGGACAAAGAAATAATGTAGATAGAGCACTTTTTTAAAAATGTTATCTCTCCGTTTGTTTTTCTAGAAATGTCTTGACTAAGCACCACAATGACTTTGTGTCTGACAAGAATCTTGATGTATTTCCGGTGCCGTGAATGCCACTACGTGATTTATCCATGGCTGATGGACGACTAAGTGTCGTGGACGTAGCTGGTGCCTTGGGACTTTTTCCCTGGACAAAACTTTTTTGATAAAAATTTATAAGAAGTACCAAAAATTCTTGTTATTGTCTTATTAAATTCTTATGGAATATCTTATTTACTAGAAAGCAGCTTATGAGTTGGTTTTGGTAATTTCTGTTACGATTAAGTTGCTTCTATTGGCTGGAAAACTTCATAAGAATTTTTGGTCCTTCTTATGATTTTCTTACGAATCTGTTATGAATATCTTATAAGATTCTTATAAGACACTTACGACTGCCGATGGGAAATCTTAAATAACCTTATATAAGAAACTGATAAGATTCCGATAAGAATTTTATAAGACACTGGTAGGAGACTTAGACGTTTCTGGTAAGATTCTTATATAAGAATCGATGACTAGAGAATTGATACGTTAGTGATGTCTATCGAAAGCACCTAAGCTATTTTTATAAAAAAAGTAGTGATTTAAAGGTGTTTTGTCAAGATATCAAGGCGACTAACACTAAAAAAAAGATGAGAAAATGCATACCTAACATGCCTTCCTCACACGCGATGGATAGATTTTGAACCCATCATAGTGGTTGATCACGACACTCTTTTTTGACAATGTAGTCAGCTGCTATTCCTATACAATAAACTAGATGTCGATTAATCTTTGGGAATTGGTTACGAAAACAACAAAATAAAATATTTATTTCTTATCATTGATTTGCTGTCAGAAATACAATAGAGAATAGAGAGAGGTTATAAACTACTCAGAAAAAACATTTTTGGTGATAAAATCAACATCAATAAATTATCGTTGTGTCAAGTTGAAGAAATCACACTTATGTAAGTTATTAGTCACCATTTTAATCGTGTAATAACAAACAAAATAAATTAGCTAAAACAAATTTTTTATATGCAGGTTGAAGTTGCAAGTTTGAGTTCCTAAGTTTTGTAGGAGTTAAAGAAAACTCAGATTCCCTTTGAGATATTTTTAGCGGGCAAATGAAAAAGTATGATTCGCAAGAATATCAAATCTGTTATTGCGTGATGAAAATAAAAATAACTAACGTGTTCTGTGTTGGAACTTCCTGAACTTATCAAGTAAAGTCCCATATTTTCAATATTTCTTCATTTTACCATTCTCTATTATTTGGAGTAATGGGTGGGATCGCTTTGAATTTGAAGAATTTTTTTTAAAAGGAACATACTGGCTAATTTTAGGGAATTTTTGCAAGTCGCAGCCTTTGTTCTTTCAAACGTTATTCAAAAGATCTACTTTGAAATAGATAGGAGATAAAGATGAGATTAATGAAGAAACTTGTTTTTGTCGATTTTTGTCGAGCTTATTATGGATAAAATGATTACTACCGCTCAATCGACTCTAAAGAAACTTCCAAGATTTGAAGCTTCTGATCGGAATAGACTATGTTAAAAATTTCAGTCTAAATTATGAACGCGCCAGAGAGTAAGACTCATGGCGCGGTGCACTTCTCTCAACTTTGTTACCAAGTAGTTTTAGTTCTAAACGAATCTAGACACTTCCCAACCAGTTGTTCGAAGGGTACTTCGAATGGTCGGAAATATGATTTCGATGGGCCTTCGCCGAGGGTTCGAGCCCTCGGAAAATGGCACTTCGGACACTTGATATAAGCTTTCGAGGGATATTTCCTAGCCCTCGTCCCACCCTCGAGAGACAGCTCTGAAGTCCTGAACATCGCACTTTTAGGCGACGAGGGCTCGGAAGTCCCGAACATCTCTATTCGACGGCTCGCTACCTATCTGAAATCCGAGGGCTCGAAATCCATACCCCACGAAAGTTTATATCGAGGGTCCGAAGTGCAATTTTCCGATGGATTTTGTGACTTTTGTAATCTGGATTCCGTTCCACAGGCAATCAATTTTTTTCAAATTTTGTCGTACTCCTGGAGACTCCTTGGTATTCTTCGTGACTTCGCTGAGCCCGAAGAATTTTGCTGACTGTTTTTGAATTTTCCCACGTTATTTCCACTTAGCCCCATTTTCAGTCATTTTTACAGATTTTCGGGATTTCATCGGATTCTAATCCCTTTTCCCGATTTTTTCTTGTACTCCCAGGGATTCCTACAGTTTCTCGAAGTTTGGGAAGTTTGTATAGGATTCTCCAGGCTTTTGTAGGTCTGGGAAAAATATTTTTGTTTTTACACTTTCTAGTCGGAAAAAATAATTGTTCTTTCTACGCTCAATGTTTTCCCAAAAGCCATGTTCAGTATATTAAGTTACCACACTTTTCCACAACTCCAAATTTAATGAAACTTTCACAGAATATCCTTCTACTTGTGATACATCTTTACAGGTAGCATAAAGATGCATAAACGGTCCCGGTCTCGTTACAGATTTTCTAAAAATCCTGGTTTTTGATGTAAAATCCACTTTCCTGTACTCAACCCATACCCAACAAGTTCATATCCGTAAGTAGTATATGTAGCGATAAATAAACTATGCTTTTACACACATCCTACAAACTGTCCAAATCCCCACAAAAACGTTAGTTAGGGTAGAAAAAGATGCAAACTCAGAAAGTGGTTACTTCAGGTTGGTAAATGTATCAAAATGTCGAGTGTCTATGAAAAAAACAGATTCCTTTGTAGGGCGGTGTCTGTAACCAGATGTAAATGAAGCTTTAGTCAGCTGCTATTCCTATACAATAAACTAGACGTCGATTAATGTTTGGGAATTAGTCACGAAAACAACAAAATAAAATATTTATTTCTTATCATTGATTTGCTGTCAGAAATACAATAGAGAATAGAGAGAGGTTATAAACTACTCAGAAAAAACATTTTTGGTGATAAAATCAACATCAATAAATTATCGTTGTGTCAAGTTGAAGAAATCACACTCATGTAAGTTATTAGTCACCATTTTAATCGTGTAATAACAAACAAAATAAATTAGCTAAAACAAATTTTTTATATGTACTTCGTACAATACACGAAGCAATTAATACTTGTTTAATGCAACCTTAGCGAGAATCGACAACACGACAAAAAGCGTGTACATTTCAAAAAAAGCGCTTGCTTTTTTCTTGTAATATTTTAGCTGTAAATTTTTATTCTGTATTTTCATCATGCCATCATCAGTACGTTTTCCAACACACTCTGACATCGAGTCAGGATTGCTACGTCATCGGTAAGTCAAAATACTGCTCGTTGTTGTACAATCAGTGTCTCTTTCTGTATTTTCAGATGTGGGCGAGTCACCGGGGTATCATTGCTAGTCGCTGGGTGTCTGGTATTTGTTTGCATGATAATAGCCGCCATGATCATCCTTTCACTTATTCCCATTTATTTATCCACAAAATCAGAGCAGAGCAAAAATGGTATGCTAATGTATTTGATTGATCTGATTGATTTTTTGCTTTAAACAAAAAAATCCTATATATCCGTGTAACACATACAGGGCATATTAAACGGTCTCATATTCTCCATTAATAGTGCAAAGTGAACCATTATCTATTACGTATGATTTGCCAGCGATTTCAAGTTTGAACGCCGACATTAGTGTATTAAATGGTGTCATAGAAAAAGGGAAAGTACTAGAGTTACAAAATCTGGTGAGAAAAACATTAATTTCAATTTTCTTACTAAAATATATGTTGTATTAATTTAGTTGCAAGAGCACTTGAACAAAAGTGCAACAACAAGAACAACAAAAGTGATTGTTACACAGGCATATCTGTCCGATTCAGTTAAAGTATATAACAAAGTCATAGAAAAAATTTAAATACTATCTTGATTTCGTTGTAGTATCTGAAAAACGTCTATCAGCCACAGTCTGAAGAAGTTATCATTAATCGTACTCAAAATAGGCCTTCGACGCCCTCACAACTTACAATTAATTTTACATTACTGTTTCCATTTGAATGTAACAAAGCGTGTCATTTCCGGTTGCAAAGTGTCATTCTTAATAATAGTTTTTATATGTTGGAATTTTCTGAACCAACATGTAAGAATAAGCAATATTTCAGAAAGGTTAGAAAACTGTAAGTTTTCGGTTTTAGTTATGTCAATATTTGCCAGTCCGATACAAGATGACAATTCAAACAGTACAACATTCATTGCTATGGCGTCGGGGCAACCTGTAATTAGCACGACCGCATTAGCTCAAGAAACCAACGATTTGGATAGTAGCACATCGTCCTCCTTCTTTTTTTTCTCCTCCACCGCCGGCTTCTTCTCCTCATATTCATTATCTTCAACATCCCCATCACTTTTACCATCACCATCATCATCACCATCATCATCACAATCATCTTTATCTTCATTACCAACATCACCTTCATCACCACCATCACCTTCATCGTTACCTTTATCATCACCATCAGAATCATCTTTATCATCACCATCAAGATCATCTTTATCATCACCATCAGAACCATTTTCATCATCACCATCTACATCACAATCATCTTCATCGTCATCTTTATCATCAGCATCAGAACCATCGTCATCTTTATCATCACCATCACCATCAGAATCATCACTATCAGAACCATCGCCATCTTTATCATCACCATCACCATCTTTATCATCGCCATCAGAACCATCATCATCAGAACCATCACCACCTGAACCATCATCATCAGAACCATCACGATCAGAACCATCACGATCAGAACCATCATCATCAGAACCATCACGATCAGAACCATCACGATCAGAACCACCATCATCAGAACCATCACGATCAGAACCATCACCGTCAGAACCACCATCATCAGAATCATCATCATCAGGACCATCACGATCAGAACCATCACGATCAGAACCACCATCATCAGAATCATCACGATCAGAACCATCATCGTCAGAATCATCACGATCCGAACCATCATCATCAGAACCATTATCGTCAGAACCATCACCGTCAGAACCATCACCGTCAGAACCATCACCGTCAGAACCATCACCGTCAGAACCATCACCGTCAGAACCATCATCATCAGAATCATTACGATCAGAACCATCACCATTAGAACCATCGTCATCATCGCCCTCTTTATCATCACTATCATCACCACCATCATCTTCAGCATTACCACCATCAATTAATGCCACTGTAAACACATTAGATGCGTTTGATACAACCATAAATAACACGACCGCTCCGTTATCAAATGAGAACACAACAGAACACACAAGAAGAACAACGCGTGCAACTCTCTCAAATAATGATTTCTCAGTTCACTCAACCAGTTCAAGGATTCATCAGCCAGAGACTGTGCCCTTGTCGACTATTACATCTCATAATGCAGTTTTCTCTACAAATAATATTCATCACATTAGCACTTTAGCAGCAGCAATATCTTCAACTACGAAAAATACACAAACCCACCATTTTACGCAGTTTTCAGAGAAATTTCCATCAACAGCGACAACATTAATAAAAGTGTTAACAACTCCAAAAACACACGTAAACAATACGCTATCTCCTAACAAGAATGTCACTATTCGATCAAGTTCTTTATCCTCAGGTAAATTCTTATGTTCCATACACTTTAGAAAACAGGTGGGTATCAATTTTCTCGAACGGCTTTACCAATAGGACTCATCTCTGAAATTTTAAAGCTGTTTCTAGTACCCAGCTGTTTTACTTCGTTTAAATCAGAGACTGCTTGATGATTAATCAACCTCTTGAAAACGTTTATTTCTCATCACATTATAGTAGTTTAAAAATCTTGTTAGAACAGTCCCGTCTTAGGCTAAAATGTGAAACTCCTCTCGACTATTTATTCTTGAGTTCGTCTTTGTAATCAGTAATTAAAAAACGGTGAATGAAACTCTAATAAAAAAACAGATCAACCATTAACCGACGCTTTTGCTACACGGACCGCGATTATTGAAATCAACGTCGAGCCATCTGCTGCGCCAGCGGTAGCTCACAGTTATTTCGATAACCACGATTTACCGTCAGTTTTCAATAAAAATGACATGAGTGTGATCTCTGAACAAAAAGATAATAATTATGAGCTCCGCAGTAGTTTTAGGATCATAACTGTAAACCTTGTACGTTTTGAAGACCATAATGACGGACACTAGACATTTTTGAGATCATAACCGGAGGCTGCAAAAAACCTAAATAAGGACCTAAATGATTTAAAGATCATTAGTACATATCGAGAACGATTTTAAGATTATACTAAGATGGGGCCAACAAAAACCCCAGGGCCTTGAGTATATAACTTACACTCCTCCT